AGGTGCCCCAGCACCAGCTGCACCCGCCGCGCCGCCATCTTGGCACGCGCAGGGCACGCCCCCTCATTTACATGTCCCCGCCCTCCGCCGGGCGGCCCCGCCCCCAAGGCGCAACCCTGGCTGTGCCTAGAAACTGGCGAGAAGTACACCGTTAAAATAAAGACGTAAAACAAAACAAATCACAGAATCACAGAATCACAGTATCACAGATTCATAGAATCCCGGAATCCCGGAATCACGGAATGGTTGGAGTTGGAAGGGACGTTAAAGACCATCCAGTTCCAACCCCCTTGCCATGGGCAGGGACACCTTCCACTAGACCAGGTTGCTCCAAGCCTCAATGGTTTAAATATTGCTCAAATGGTTTAAATATTAATGGAAGTGAAGTTAAAATAAATAAATTAAACTGATAAAGACAAAAAAATTATTAAAAGGGGGAACAGAAAGGGGGGCAAAAGGAAAAATGAAGCGGAAATGAAGAAAAATAAAGGGAAAAAATCAAAGTAAATAAAATAATAAACAAAGAGATTAAGAGTTAATAAATTTCAGACACATAAAGCCCCGTGTGTTTGGAGCACGTGAACAACGTGGGACGCTGGGGCAGAGGGTCGCGCGGAGCTGAAGGGTGGGAGAACGCGGAGGTTCGTTATCCCGAGGAGAAGCCCAGAGCCACCAGCCCCATCCCTGCATCGTCACCCCCCCGTGTCTCACCCCCCACCCGCACACCCTGCTGCCAAGGGTCCGCACTTGTGTGCCGGGAACCAGCCGTGTCCCACTCCAGCCGCCCTGGGAATTGCTTCTGGATGGACGCCGCGAGGATAAGACCCAGGGAAAAAGGCACGGGCCCGCCGCAGGCAAAACGGAATTAAACAAAACTGAGCCAAACAACCAAAAATGAACTTTACACGGCGTCTTTTTACATTCTGTTTTCCGGGTTTCGTTCTGTACATCAGGACACTGCAAGGGGTTTAAAAAATGAAAAGGCACCTGAGGAGCGAGTCACACGCACGCACACACTCACACGCTAGCCGCGTCCACCCCCGCGAGCGTTTGGGTGGCTTGAGGGCTGTTTTGGGGCAACCAGGAACCCCCTTTTTCTATCAAGACTTTGGGAAGGGAAACACCCTCCCCCCTGCTGAAGGGCTCAGACAATCAAAACCCAACAGATTCAGCGAAAGAGCAGAAAACAGCTTAAAATGAGTTGGCTTTTTTTAATCTTTGGTGAAAACACACTCTGTTTCCCGCTTCTGGCAACGCCCTTCCCAGCCAACACCGATTTTTGGGTTTGCCCCTTGTATTTTTTCCATCCATCCCGTTACTGCACAGACTGATGGATTTGGTCCTATGCACAGACTGAAATTCTTCACTCCCCCTCGGAGAAAGGAGCCGGCTTCAGCCCCCCTCCCCGAGCACACCGCCCTGGCCCCCCAGCACAAAGCAGCGGTGCCCCCCCCGAGCCATCCGTGGGTAGTAACTGGCTTCTGCAGCTTTGCAGGTGAATTTATAGGGAATTCTTTAGCTATTTCTTTAAATTTGACTGAACGTTACCAGTGTTTTTACTTTTTTCAAACTGAAGTAACTCTAATTTTTGCTCCTCTTTTCAGAGCTGCGGACAAGGAAACGCCCCCAGCAGTGCCAAGTCTCACGGAAGAGCTCACGCACGTGTGAAGTCACAGGAACAACCCATTTCTCAATTTCCTCTTTGTTTCAAGCAAGACTTCTCGTTTTCAATTAAAACCAGCAGTAAAATGAACCACCTTCGACACACTGCCCAGAAGATGGCAACAGCCCAGTAACTGCTCGTTTAACCCTTTGCTGAGCCAGGTGAAAATAGCTGTCAGGGTTTAATTAGCAGCGAGGAAGGAGGACATGGGATGGTGCAATTAATTTGTCCAAAATAACCAAGATCCAATTAATTAATTAGCTCCCAGGGACTCTGTGTGTGCTCCCTGCCCAGGTTTTCCAGCTGGTCCAAGAGGCTGCAGCCCAACTCCGTTTTCAACTGGCCCATTTTCTCCTACAACTTCTAATACACCCGAGGAAGAAATGTGCTTCCAGCGGCCCTCAGCCGACACGGCTCTGCTTTCCAGACTGAGGCTGCAGCTGCTCCCATGGAGGTGATGTCCCCCTTCCCCGCACCCGGGGCTGGTCCCATGAGGAACGGACGAGAAGGCACCCGACCCTCGGCAGCCCAGATTGGTGGGTGCCCGTTCTCTCTGCCTAATTTTAGGCACCTGCTTGGGTTTTACGGATACCCACTGGGCTCCCTCCTGCAGCTACAATTCCAGAACGTGTTGGCATCTCTCCAGCCCCAGCGCAGCAGCACAGGCATGGCTTAGCAGGGCTATGGCCAGGATTAGAGAGCCAAGACCCCCTCCGGCTCCCACCCGAACCCTGATGGCTCCCAGCACGAACGGGCTGGTGCTCAGCCCTGCTCACCGCGGGCACGGACAGCATTTCAACATCCCACTGCACAGCCCATGGCAGAGGTCCCAGGCATCCGTCCGCGGGTGTATCCCGCAGAGACCTCCTGCGCCCCGAGAAGACCCCTTCTTCCAAGATTCGCACACACACACACGCCTGCACACAC